TCTGTATTCTCTCAAGAACTCTGCTTGAATTTCATCGATGCCTGGCGCTTTGTTTGTTTTTAGTTCCTTCATTATTTGGAGTACTTCATTTCTTGTCGTTGAAGAAAACTTCATCGTGCAATTTATTGTCCTATTAGGCACTTTACTATCTGGTGGTTTTATTTTAGATGCTAATTTTTTGCCGACTTGTGTAAAGAATTTATTGAAATATTCCGCCATTTCTATTTTGTTTACGAATAACTGATCAGATTCATTCTTTACTGATTTAATCTCTAAACTTTTTTGTTTATTTTCTATTTTATTCAGCGCTGACCATAGTGATTTTGAGCAATTTATATTTTTATGTATTAGATCTTTGTAGTAATTTATTTTTGTTTCTTTTATTAGTTTATTCAGAATATTTCTATAATTTTTGTATTCTTAAAGAAGGTGATTATTATCAGTTTGTTTTTTGCATCTTTTATAGAGAATATCTTTTTTATTTATGGAAGTTATAAGTGCTTTTGTTATCCATGGAATGCGCTGAATCATTGAACGTTTTAATTTTAGTGTAGTAGAACAATTTTCGATTGCAGAACCAACATTTTTATAAAAGATCTCTAAACATTTATCCACATTTTGGCATTCATATATGGTATTCCATGATGTACTAGATAAAATATTCTTAAGTTTTGCATGATTTATATATCGTTTAAACCTATTAGGGTTAGGCTGTTTAAACCTATTAGGGTTAGGGTTGCTTTACTCTACTGGTATTTATTACACGCCACCCAAAGGGTATTGCAAAGGCGCGTTATCCCACACAATAAATAGCAAAAGCTTACCGCTGATATTTAAATAGAATAGTTTGCTATTAAGTTATTATTTATTATATTCTTATCGTGTAAGTCCTGCCTTATCTGTACACAACACATAACATTGGAAACTATAATATCTTCCCATTTCCTTAAACGCTCACAAAATATACGCATTTATTCATAAAAGCTATCTTTGTAAAATCGCCTTTTTTAAGATTATTGTACCTTTTTTATGTTGGTATGTGGGGTAAAAGTTTGCTTTTGTTGGCTTATTGTTTAAGAGATTTGACTCTCGACTGATATATCCACTTGGAAAAGCAATCTTCGTTAAAGCGTTTTTTTTTCCTTAAACTATAAATAAAAATGAATTGTATAAATCGTCCTATTGCTGCCAAAAGTCACTAACTAACATTTTTCCGAACAACCAAATTCAATCACTAACTATGTTTTAAAGTGGAGAATCGATTACAAAAGTCATTAACTACGATTTCTGGCTATTTATGTTTTATTTTAATACTGAATAGTTACTAACTATAACATCTTAATGCAATGCAATTCATCTTTAGACGAATTTTTCTCGGAAGTAATAAAATGTGAGTTAGTGACTTTTGGCAGCAATGGGACGAAATAAACAATGCTTTATTGTACAAAAAGCCAAAAAAGCACAAAAACAAATATACAAATAATAGAAAAATTTCATACAATACAAATCAATTCAAAAAAATTTACGTCATTAAAATTACAAATAAAACATACATGGACATTGTACAACACAGGCGATTCACAAACACACACACACACAAATGAATAAGGAAGGAATAGACAGTATTTTGAACAAAAGTACAAAAGTTAAGTTATTAAGTACAAAAGGTTGTATAGTACTTTTATATGACAAAACTTTAGTTTTTGAAAGGTTGAGGCATAGGAGATTAGAATCGCACCAAGATTTAATTGTGCGTAAGTCACTGGATATAGTATCATATAGTGCCGTAACATCTGGGCGGCTCCAAGTGAAACTAGTATCGTCCGCAAAGAGGCAGATTTTACCGCTAATGTCTAGATTTGCAATGTCGTTGATAAACACCAGAAACAAAATAGGGCCAATGAACTCTGAGGGACACCACATTCTATAGGCTTACAAGAAGACATAGACGTATCAATCCTCAGAAGCTGCCTTCTGTTGCCAAGATATGACTTAAGCCATTCGAGCGGCACTTCCCTGAATTCATAGTATTGCAATTTGTTAATTAAGATATTATGATTTACACAGTCGAAAGCCTCAGAGAAAACAGAGAAAATTGTAGCTGTAGAGTGATGGTTATTCAGGCTACAGTATACATTATTAAAAAGGTCGAACATAGCATCATTTGTGCAACTGTTACTTAGAAATACAAATTGATGGGTAGAAAGTACTTTATATTTAAGGAGAAAAGATAGAAGCCTTTTTTTAACCAATCTTTCAATGATCTTAGATAATGTGGGCTGGAGAGCAATTGGGCGATAGTTCGAAGCTTGACCTTTATCTCCTCCTTTATGCAGAGGAATAATTATTGCTGTCTTAAAGCAGCTTGGAAAAACTCCTTTTTGGAATTACTCGCTAATTAAAGTAGTAAGATAGATTAACGTTCATTCCGGAAGTTCAGAAAACATTTTGAGAGTAAGCCCATCAGTCCCAGATGAGGATTTATTTTTAATACTTTTAATTGTACTACGGAGCTCATCTAATGCTATGCTCGTGAAGAGGAAACTGTAAATTCTCATTTGCATTAGGGAAATATGAAAGTGAATTATGGGAAGGAGTTACGGTGTTCACTAAATTTTTCGCCACATTAACAAATTAAGTGTTTAAATCTTCAGATGAATTAAAGACTGTGCCAGACGAAGAAGTCTTATTCCTTAAGTCATTTACAATAGCCCAAGTCTCCTTAGCAACACACATTACCGGATTTGGCTAGCTTCCCATTATAATAAATGTCCTTGGCAGCTTTTATAGTCTTACGATAAACCCTTCTATAAAGTTTCACGTAATTATGAAAGAAAACGCTGTCTGTGAATTTTTTAAGGTGAGATAATGAGCGCATGTTCTTTGCAGATATACGCAAGCCAGTCGTAGACCAAGGTATACCTTGCTTAATTTTGATAGGCCTAAGAGGAAATGCCTTGCACGCTGATTAGACAAGGATAAATCTAGAAAATTCGGAATCGACGTCAGCCGAGATGACAACCCACTCAGTTGTTAGACATAGGTGGTGAAAATTTATAAAAATTTTATCCGAAAAAATACGGCCCAATTTGCGCGAGGTATTTTTGCATTTGGATTGTGGCAAAAAAGTTGTCAATACTGCCTCATGATCAGAGAAACCTGAGTAAAGGACTCTACTCTAATAATAAAGGGTAATAATACAAGGTATTTTATTCACTCCTTCTCTGAATTTGTCACCCCTTTTCAGCAATTTTTATTTTTTAATTGCATTTTCTCAGTTGATTAATTAGAAATATAATTCATTTAGGAGGTGTCAATGTCGCATCCCTTTTAGTGCCGTAACCATGGTAATATCAGAGATTAAGAAATTAGGCCGTATGAAAGTTTGCGGTGAACAGGCAGTTCTAAAAAGTTTTCGAAAAATATACAGGGAAATTTAAACGAAAATGCCTTGTTACAGTTGATATTACAGTTGAGGGTTGGAACCTTTGGTGTTACACAGCAAAATAAAACACTAAATCACCACAATACACCAAAACACTTTTACTTTTACACTGGACGCGCGTTTCGCTAACCATGTTAGCATCATCAGCAGATGATTATAAACTAAATGCCTTCATCAGCAGATGATTATAAGAAAATGCCTGATTTTCAACATCTTTTTCTTGCGAAAAAAACCTCATAGACGTGTTCCTAGGGTCGAAATTTACCGCCCCTCAAAATATTTGCACTTATTTAAGACTCATCCTGTATAGTTTTTTACATTTTTAATATTTGTCATTACTTAAATATTAAATTATGTGTTTTTAATGTAACATCCTGTATATTTTCTAATATTAAAAACAAAAATCATTGTAGTACGTAGTTGGATAATATTATATTTTTGTACATTTTCTATATTACAAATAAATGATTTATTATTTGTAAAATAACTTGAATTATTTAAATCTCGCGCCCAAAACTAGGTTAGCAACTCTAGTGACTTTTATAAGGAAGTATTGTTATGTAATAATTATGGGTAGTTGTTGTTGAAAAAATTAGAAAGGTGAAAAATAAAAGTACGAAAATTTATTGAAGTCGCTTTATTAAAAATAAATATTGTCCCTCCCCCTTTTATATATTATTATTATTTGCCCTTCTTAGAAAAATATAACACTTATACAACAGTTTGAGTATTAGCACGGAGTTTAGATAATTTAAAGTTTATTAGTTTATTATTAGTCAGCCTACCGTTCCTTACTGGTAGGCCTATTACTAACTGTCAGTGTTTGTTCTCCGAGAATGTTTTCTCCCATAAACGAGTTTCCGGAGAATGAACAGTGGCACTCAAAAGTTTTTATATTTTTCCGGAAAATTTCAAGAAAAATATAAAATTTTAATAATAATATTAATTATATTAATAATATTAATATACAATTTTTTTCGCAAAAAAAACTTATGGGCTTGTTTCTGGGGTCGAACTATACTACCAGTTAAAATACTTGCACTTATTTCTGAGATACCCTGTATAATACTGCAAAATTATAGGTATAACACATTACTTGACAAATTTAAAAATCAAATCAGTGACATCCTTCAAATATGATAAGAAGCGATACTTCTTGCCTTCCACCTCCTAATGAATTTATAGTGTTATCTTTAATTATTTTTGTTTTTAACATCATGTCAGATAATAATTTATGTATTTTTGAATATCGTATATTGTAAATATAGGGAAATGTAAGTTATGTGTTAATATGGTATGTTTTTGGGTTAACTGGTAGAATAGCTATTCGCAAAACGTCGCCCACATTGTGACTGTCTTTTTTAGATGCATACTTCAGTAGACGAAGTATTATTATTATTATTATGCTTCTTTCGTGATTCTATTAAGGCAGAGATAATAGGTATCTACCTTATATGCCTAGTTTTTAACGTAATACAAAAAAAAAATAGTAAACTGAATGTGCTTTTATATGTTCCAATTCTAGTGTATTTAATGATACTCGCAATATTTTTACCTAAATGTTCATCGAAAATCTTCAAATCGTGGGGATCATACATTCTTAAATCTGGAGACTCTAAAATGCCAAGGGGAGGAGATGTTGCTGGACTATAGGTACCGCAAGGGCCTTTGCCAACTGACGGTGGAGTTAAAGGTTCAGGACCAGGTAACGGCTCAGGCGAGTACATCAATTCTAAAAGTATACAAACGAAAATAAATATGCCGTCATCACAAAATCGCTTTTTTGTCTGCCATTCGCAAATTTTTACACATTTGCTAAAAGTATTTTACGATCTAATTTATATGCAGATCTAAATGGTTTTTGGTTAAGGATATGTCGAGTAGGATTTGCGGAACCGGGGCTGTTTTTTAGAACCGGGAATTTCGGGACCACGTCTTAAGGGCCGCTTCTACAAAGCAGGTATATACCAAGTATAACCAATTCTTGGAATATCTATTAAAATTTCCGTTCAATAAGTATAAAATGTTTGGAGAATAATTATTCCGAATTTATATTTGCTTGGTAGAATCGGCCCTAAGGAACAGGTATTTCCAGTTTTTTTTTCGGTACATTCGGTACTGGCTAATTTTTGTTAAATGATGGTGAAGTTTATCAATCAGCAAGCAAGGGATGGTTTTCGAAAGTAAAATCGATAAAAATTGAGTTTTTTAAAGAAAATCATATAAAATTATTAAGTAATCAGTCATGATAAAATTGAAAAAATTGGTCAAGTGCGAGTCGGACTCGCGCACGAAGGGTCGTGCCAATTACCATTCATTATCATTCATTCATTATCTACAACATTAGACACTCTATTATTATAAACTTTTTTTCCGATTTAGCTGAAATTTTGAATGCGCGTATAAGTAATAGAGGGCAAAGTGCAAGGGAAAAGATCAGTAGGAAGACGCCAGAATTAATGGCTAAAAGATTTGAGGAGATGGTTTGAACGCTCGTCTGCGGAAATCTTCCGGGCTGCAGTTTCCAGAGCCACAATTGCCATTTGGATCGCCAACCTTCGACAGGAGAGGGCGTGATAAGAAGAACCAGAAGTATAAGTAATTTAAAAAAATGAAGAAACACATTACTAAAAATTGTATTGATCAATAATAAATATGTAAAAAGTAAAAATAAATATGTAAAAATATGGAAAAATTAAAGAAAAACGACTAAAAAAAGTCGCCTTGACTAGGATTCGAACCTGCCTTACTACGGCTCCAACGTTATAGCAGCGTAAAGTCCTAACGCTTTAACCACGCGGCCACCGAGGACTTGAAAGATTCTATGTAAAATTCTTAATTAAAAGATAATGTTTAGTGAAAGTACTTTTTTATTTATAAACATTTATTTAATTCTGTTTTTAGTATTTGTTCTTATAGCGGCAACATATATACATTATCTGTAAAAATTACAATTGAAGCGTGGTAATTCAAAAGCGTCTAAGTGCCAAAAAGGTATTTTTGAGTTATTAAGGTTTTTGTTATAATAAATAAAAAAAAAACAAGTATATTGCGGTGAAAAGTACTTTAATAATCAGTATTAAGTGTTTGAAGCATAAAACATGTTAAAAAATTTTAAAAAGTTGAAAAGTTTTGTTACAAAGAATTACCAAACTCATAAAACAAAGAAACAGTCTAAGTTCAAAATTAACATAGCTTCAAAAGCGTCTATGTTCCAACTAAACATACATCCAAAAAAATAAAACTGAACACGAACGTAGATTAAATTGCTACTTATTTTGATTTCTTGGTATCATCAATCAAAGTTTCCCAATAACTTAAATATTTTAAAGGTATATAGTCTAGCATATCTTCAAAATTTTTAATTTTTTCAGCAGAGATTCGATTCTTGTCTTCTAGGAGGGGGAGATTTCCTAAAATATCCTGTATCCTTTTTCCCTGCTTGAAAACATTACACTCAGTCCATGCTTCCAGCTCACTGAAAGATTTCTTAATTTTCACCATTTTCAGATTTTCCTTATTAACCATAATCCAGGAAATCTCAGATATTTTTAACTTCGTTGTGTTCAGCATTTCGTCGGCAAGTTTCTGAATGTCTTTACAGTCCTCAGATTGCATCGTAAAAGCTTTAAAAGAATTCTTGTGACATGCATTCTTTATCATATCTTTTATATTATCAGGTGTGAAAGCTTTTGTTATTCTTTTTCGCTTTTCGATTTGAGGGAAGTCACGATCACAAGGGAGGTATGTGTGACCAGAAACTAAGAATTTTTGTTCAACTTGCTCATATACTCCCATAGCCACCAAATATAGAGCATTATTTTATTTTTATTTTGACCAATGCAATTATTGTCACTCCATATGATTAACTTTTTAGAAAAAAAATAATTACAGCAATGTGTAACGAATTGGCACTTAGACGGTTTTTCCCTATAATTGCTTACTCAACTTGGACGTCGCGCCATCTTTTAGCCGAGTATTTAACGTTAAAATAGCAGTATGGGACTTAGACTATTTTGTACGTTATAGGCCTTGGCACATAGATTACAAAATTAATGAAATCTTAAGAATTTAAGATTTCATTAAATTAATAAATAAATAAATAACATAAAAGAATTGATCGAATGATCAATTTGGCACTTAGACGCTTTTGAATTTCCACGCTTTAATTGTCTAGCTATAACGGTTCATAAGATAGACCTTTGTGACAGACGGACCGACGGACGGACAGCGAAGTCTTAATTATAGGGTTTCCGTTTTTACCCTTTGGGCACGGAACCCTAAAAACATGAACACAAATGAATAAAAGCGAAGAAAAAAACATACGTAAATTAAAATTCACATCAATCAACATAATCCGACTCAACTAGGGTTTCCGGAACCGGAGCTATTTTTCGAAATTGGGAATTTTGGTATCATGCCTTTAAGGAATCGGAATTTCCCTTTTTTCGGTACATTCGGTACTAGCAAATTTTTGTTCAATGATTGAACACTTTGCGAATCAGTAAGCAAGGGATGGTTTTCAAAATCGATAAAACATTGAGTTTTAAATGAAAATAATATGAAATTATTAAGTAATCAGTCATGAGAAAATTACACCTAATATTAACACAAACATTAATTCGCGACAAACTCACAATTCGCGAGCATTACCACCGAAAAACGCTACGGGGGTACTCCAACATACCTCTCGCAAAAGACACGCCCGCCGTATCAGTTTGTTTTTTGTAGCGTCTTTAGCGATTTCTTTTTTTCATTTTAGGGTATTATTTAAAAATATTTTTATAGAGAACATCTACTGTTTAGAAAGATTCTATTAAATTGAAAAATTTGAAGGAAATGTTTGAAAAAGTGTAGTTTCAAATGTTGAAAAATCAATAAATTAAAGAAATATTTTTTTATGTGTAACAAATAGTTTTATTCGCGTATAAAATAGTTTTCTAGGCTCAAACAATAGTTTATTACGCGTCAGAAATATTTTTTTACGTGTAACAATTTTTTTTGTAAAAAATGTTTTTTCCTGTATGGTCGTGGTCTTATTTTCCTACCATCGCCATGACTTTCAGCTGATAGTGCCGTTGTCTCTCCTAGATCAAATGGGGGTTCCCATTCAGCTACCTCTCGCAAGTCGGGGTGCAGCGGAGGGGGACCACATGGACCAAAGTTCTCAAATTGTAAAGGCTGTAGTTCTACTTGTGGAAATGGGTCGACGACTCTGGTGTAATGGGGTCGTCTTATAGGCGATCCATGATGAGGAGCAAGGGGCGGTGGTAAACCTAAAATAGTAGAAATAATATATGGCGATACTATAATTTTATTCAATAATTCTAATTACATAATACAGGGTGTTCCGAATTGCATTCGAGAAACTTCGGCAGCGTATTGTACAGATAACAATTACAAAAGTTCGTATAAATTATCGGCTTTATAACGAAAAGGCGTATCTCGATTTTTGCTACTTTTCAGGAGAGGAATTTAAAAAAAATCACTTACTTTCTTTGGCCAAGAAATGTCTTTAATTTTCTAATATTGTTTTTGTATTCACACGTAAACGGAGGCCTTGAGAAAACATTCTGAAGATAAATTGAGCGTAAATTTTAATAAATAATTTATTTTTAGTTGTTTACCAGAGATAGGCCTTTTTGTTTTAATATAATAAATTTATTACCGGCCGAATGGTATACATACGCCTATGTAAAATAAATTTAAAAATAATGATAAAATGTTCCTAATAAGGAAAAAAATAATACAATATTCACATAGATACATACAAAAAACTAGAAATCACCAAAAAATCAGAAACAAAAATATTTTTAAATACTTTTATTCGCGTTGGATTAAATCAACTGAAAACAAAGACAACGTTCATTCTAGAAACAAAAACAATAATAACTGAAAATACTCTTATCTAGCTTATTTTAACAATATTGTTTTTATACGAAAATATTTTTATTAAGTAGGTCCTAACATATTTTTAGTAATTATTTAGTTAATTTAGGCAAAGATTTAAAATAAAACATTTTCTGGTGATTTAATGACAGGTTTATCACCAGTGCAAAGGGGCTGTAGATCTTGATTTTTCCGTAATACTATAAGTTTTGGCCCTGAGTTTAGTTTAGAATGTGATGTTGAAAAAATGAGTTGTCGTTTTAGTGTTACTGTTCTATAACTAAAATAACTGTTCTATATTCTAAAACAGCTGGTTGGGCATAAATAATTCGCCTGTTTTTTATTGCATGAGCAATATCACGGATCTAGTAAAATTGCCCGAAAACAATTCACTGAAGTAGAATTACCCGAAAAATTGATCGAAAAAAATAAGGAAAGAGATAGTTGCCCGAAAAGAAAAATCATCGAATTTTAATTAACAGAAATAAAAATTTCCCAAGATGTCGATTTTGGTAAAAGATTGCTCTAATACAGGGTAAAATTTAAACACACGGTCCACTTAATAAAAATCAAACTAAACGAAAACAATACATGTTTCTTCACCCATGCTTTTTTGATACAAATAACCGTGGAGTAATAATTAACGGAGTAACGGATGATGATAGGCTCAATAAATACAATTTTCCAGAAATTGGCAGAGATGACAATTATTGTATTTTTCGGAAAACTTTTGGGTTCACTAAAGTGTTCTTAGGGAAACTATGATCTCGGGAAATTTTCCATTAGGGCAGTCTTCGTTTCGGTGATTTGCTTTCGGCCAATTTTCCTTCGGTCATTTTTGGATACGCAATACAGCTATGTGCAAAGTCTAACTCATTTTAACCATAGTTTGTGGCAAAAAATCAGAGACGTATTTCTTTCAACTGTGTTAAATTAGCCGCACTGTAAACGAGAGCTGCCATGATAGAACTTTTATTTTGTCCTGAGCAACCATCAGAAAATAATAGGCAGAATGTGTTATTTTCTTTCGCACGCATTTTCACAACTTAAAACAAAAGACCATCTCAAATTCCATCTTTCTTGTAGTATAAAAATTAGTATAACAATTGATATAACAAAGAGCTTTATCTCAACTTACGTCTCTTCGTCGTAACGAGTTAGGCCTTTTTGTCATAAAGCCAACGAAATGTATGTCCTAAAATATTTCGTTTCGTAGATACAAGGGGTAGAAGTTTCATTATTATTTCGATTTTTTCTCAAATAATTTTTGAGCTAGCATCTATATTTGGATGAAAATGGGTATATGGGTGTTTTTGACAAGAGAAATTTGGATTTCGATGTCAATGTGACATGTAGGGAGGACCTACATAGTGATGAGCCACTTTAATGGGTTTTTACTAAAGACACTTCCTTCATAGAAAATATTTAAATAAACAGTATTTTAAGTAATTTAATGTAAATGAAACTTTTTAAAGAAAGAAACAATATTTCTCCGACAAATTTATTTATTTTTCAATATACAGGGTGGTCGGTATTTTAATCAAGATCAACTTCTACAATATATTTTATAGATAAAAATAAGTAAAAAAAATCTTATGTGGTTATGTTCTAAAATGTTTTGTTTTGGAGATACAGGGTGTAGAAGTTTCATTTTTATTTCGTAATTTTTTCAAATAATTTCTGAACTAACGTCAATATTTCGATGAAAATTGATATCTGAATGTTTCTGGACATGGGAAATTCGATTTTGATGTTCGTGGCGTCACCTACATGTTTATAACTGTTTTGAACAGTAATAACTTTTCGTCCGTAACTGCATTACGCTGCTGATAAAAATAAATACATTTTCGCCGTTTATCACAGTCAATCTGCATCAAAAAAGGCATAGACTTCCATCAAATTACCCCCGCTCTCATACTCGTAAGTGGTCCACTGGGAAGCTTAAATTTGAAAAATCGTATCCCCCACCGATCGTTTTTCAGCAACTAAAAAAAATTTGCATTCAATTTTCTGACTGAAGCTTAGTCCCACAGAAAATTTTGGAACAAATGAGATGAGATGGTATGTTACTTAGAGATGAAAATGAAGAGAAATTAAATTCTCTACATTTTTATAGCAAACCTCTAAAACATACGGGGACAAAGTTAGAGGGCGCCAAACTCACTCAAACGCATTTTTCCGGGCGAAACCATTTTTTTACTGTCGCTAAGTTTTTAAATGTAAAGAGCTTAAAAAACCTTGAACCTTAACCAAATTGATGTGTAACTTTTTTTTTATATTTTACTGTTTACGAGATATATTTCATTCGTTCCCACAATGTCTATGCAACTTTCATAAAATCAATGACGGTCGATAGGGTTCTGCAAGTTACCTTCACCGATTACGATGTTCACTAGAACTGAGGATCGTTATAACATCCCCTGATCGTTTTGAGATGTCTTTAGGTGCGCTGAAGGTAGCGTTTTTGAGAAATTCAACATTTTTTTTGGATTCCATTTTCTGGCTAAGCAGAAAATTTTATAAAACAAAAAATTAAGAGAATTCAATTCTCTACAATTTCATTTTTCAGTAGCAAACCTGTAAAACTTAAATTTTTACTCCGCACGCGAAAAAATTGCTTACTATGTCAAAACCCTCGCATCTACATTGCCGAAAGACGGCAGCCGATCGACTAGTTAGTGCTAGAATGCGGACCAGAAGGGGCCCAGCGGCAGCTGAGTCCTAGTATGCTCGCGCAGCAGCTCGCGACATTGTAAACGTTATATCTCGTAAACAGTGAAACGTAAAAAAAGTTACATATCAATTTGGTAAATTTTTTAATACTCTTTATAATTTAAAAAATTTTGCGGCAGGAAAAAAATGGTTTCGCCCGAAAAAATGTAAAAAACTGCTATGACTTTGGCGCCCACAAACTTTATCCCCGTAGGTTTTAGAGGTTTGTTACTTAAGAGATGAAAATGTGGAGAATTTAATTCTCTTCATTTTTTGTCCCATAAAATTTTCTGTGGGACCTACAATTAAGCCAGAAAATGGATGACTGATGAAATCCTTCAACTTATGGATGACAGAAGAAAGCAGAAGTCCAGAGACAACCGACGGTACAAGGAGCTGAACAGGACTGTACGAACTGAATGTCAAAGAGCAAAGGAGCGTTGGCTAGCAGATAAGTGCAGTGAAATGGAGACCTTTGAAATGGCAAAAGAAACATGATTTGTTTAAGCTCCACAAAAATATCAAAGAATTTACAAACACAGCACGTAAACAGTTTCGAAGTATTCTGAAAGATGTTAACAATAAAATCTTGGTGGAGTTGCTCTACACAGATACACGGCCCGATCAACCACCCATAGCTATTAATTCAATGATTCTAGTCCTGATATTACAAAGGAAGAAGTCAAACGTGCAATAGAGCTTCAGAAGAAAAACAAGGCAGTAGGACCAGACCAGATCCACGCCGAAACCGTAAAGCTAATCGCCAATGCAGATGACGGGGTCTTAAGATTCTTAGAGAAGTGTTTAATTCGATATGCAAAGCCGGCAAGATACCCACTGATTGGCTAAAATCCACTTTTATCGCATTACCTAAAAAAACAAACGTTTCTCAATATAATGACCACCGGTTAATCAGCCTGATGTCGCATGTCCTCAAAGTATTCCTCCGCATAATTTATACCCGTATATACAACAGATGCGAAGGACAGCCGAGCATGCATGCAAACGAGCAAATGTAACAGATGCAAACTTGCCGAGATTCTTAGGACCATCGGTGTGGATGAGGGGGACGCATTATCACTCAGTCATACTGGAATCAGACTGCATAGATCAGGGCGAATGGCGGAATATCTGATGACGTAGCAATTAGGAAGGGCGTCAGGCAGGTGTGTGTATTATCCCCACTCCTTTTCAACATCTACTCCGAGGCGGTATTCCGTGAGGCACTAGGGAGCGTTGAGGATGGTATCAAAATCAATGGTACCGTGATCAACAATATTCGCTTCGCAGATGATACGGTCGTACTGGCTGGCAACATTCTACTACTTCAGAACATGATGGACTGCATGAACATAGCATGCAGTACGGATTACACATCAATATTAACAAAACTAAACTTGTTATATTTTCCAAAACACCGGGAAAGACTGTTCTCAGAATTAACAAGGTGGTAGAACAAGTATCGTCCATAAAGTATCTAGGAGCCCTCGCCAAAGAGGCTTGCGACTCCAAAACTGAATTTTTAGCGAAGATCGAACAGGCCAGACGTACTTTTGCTTCCATGAAAACCCTCTTCTCCAGCCGAGATCTAAGCCTCCAACTGCGCATACGTATGCTGCGTTGCTACATCTTTCCAGTATTTATCTACGGCTCTGAGAGTTGGACACTCATCAGA